CAATTCGTAAAAATGAAATAATGGTCAGAAGGTAGTAAGGCAATTCGCATCTACTGCGTAAAATATGTATACGTTGCGGAAGTTTCCAACACTTTTGTGGATTATTTACCAAAAAATAATTGAGTTTTATTTACCGTGAATATTTTGAAAAAGAATTTTACAACTTTGTCGCAGACGTCATTTTGATTGGAAGCGGTGTTTTCGAATTATGATTTGTTGAATAATATCGAATACGCAATTTTTAAGTTTTTTGGCGAAATTCATAATTGCCGAATCGAATGATAGACCATAACAAAGTTTTATCATATCAGTGCCAACATTTCAAAGGGGCGTAATTGCATTTGTAGACAATGGCTTTAGCCGTTGATTTCTCGCAACTAAAAGATCGCTCATAAAAATTAATTACACCAACAGGTAGAGGAATGTTTTCTCTACCAGCTAGCATTGTTAATTTTGAAGAGTGTGCTTTTATTTGCAAAAAATCGACGGCTAAAGCCATTGTTTGCTAAAGCAATTACGCCCCTTTGAAATGTTGGCACTGTTATTGTTTTCGCTTCCAAAATCGATATTTTTGGAAAAATGTTCAAATCTTCATGCGTTATTTTTCCCGTTAGCTTTTTTTTCATACACCGTAAGAAAAAAATACCCAACCCATTTCTCCTTCTAATGTTGTCAAAAACGGAGGAGCAAAACCATCCAACAGGGGTAGTAAAGTGTGGGAACCCTACGTTGAGTATAATCATATTTATCTACTTTTGGGTACAACAAACTTACTTTTGGGTAGAAAGCCAGTGCAGGGCTGGTAGCGCTGATGCGATATAATAGTAGTGACTTTAGTGACTAAAATTACGGAAATAGTGACAAAATAGTGACTTGTAAATTTATGTCATGGAACTCAATATCAAGTTTCAAAATTCCTCTAATTTGATCGAATCTCACAACGAAAACCCCTGTGAAGAGCATTTGAAGTAATTTGAATAATTTACTTTTGCTTACGTTATACATGATGACTAGCAAATAGTAATTCCCATTTTTATGATCTTGAATTTGATTCTGTGTTCGAAATCTCTAAATATTTGATATATCTAGGTAGATAACTTTGATAATTTGCTATGAAATTTTCACAGAATTTCTTCAGAATGATTTCAAGAACTTTTTTAGAATAATTCCTCTTCTCTTAAACTTAGAAGCAAATAAGCTTTTACAAACATAATATTGCATTCATGAAATTCTTTGCAGAACAATCACAAAATTCTTGGAAATAGATCATTTTCGTAGTTGGAAACGCTTAACATCAAATATCAGAACTAAAGTGGACATGTTATACGATAGATGAGGAGATGAGAGTAAAGAGTTGATAGTTCCGTTATAGTGTGGCAGTGTAAAATTTGTATATAGAAAGTAGAAAGCGAACAAAGGATAATTTTTAGGAAGGTACGAATAGGGTAGAGCATCTCCTTTACCAAGCTCATCCGTTAATGAAGGATGGTGAGGGGTGTTTCCCCCTGCCATCACTGGCAAAAGGGATGATCACCGATTTGCTCATGTACCTCTGATGTGCGGAAACAGTTCTATCGATTGTTTCACACTCAAGTCGCCATCTGACGTAAACAACTACCCGATTCGTACCTTCTTCAAAATTGTCCTTTGCTCGCTTTCTACTTTGATAAACAATTTTCACACTGCCGTACTATAACGGAGCTATCAACTCTATAATTGAATCTCCTCCTCGGTCGTATAAAATCTCCATTTGAAGTCTGATATTTGACGTTAAGCATCTCCGTAAATCGTTAAATTCACGCATGAATTAATAACACATGATTAGTTAAAGTAGATTATTTTACGATTTTTTATTGATTATTTTAGAAACTCCCTGAAGGGTCCTTCCATAAATCCATCCTTAGAATTTCCATGCAATTAACCTCAGAAGTTCCATAAATTTCTGCTTAGAATAATCTTGGACTTCTCCCTTGCATTCAATTCGTATTCTCCTTAGAATCCCCATAGTATTTCCTCAGAATTCTCAAAACAAAAATCCATCACAAACTTTGAAACTCTTCTCAGAATTCCTTCCTCAAAATTCGATTCCATTTGTATTCTTCTCGGAATTTATTTCGAACTCTTTAGAATTCTCTTGAAAGTATCATCAGAAATCACCCCAGAATTCTTTTAGAACTATCCGCAGATACCATCTTTGGAGTTCACGGGATTTTCATAGAATTTTCATCAGAGCCATTTCAGAACTAATTTTGAATTCTTATTATAATTAGACCTAGAATCCTCATCCAATCATCATAGAACTCTTATCAGAACTCTCGTTAAAATGCACTCTCAATTACATTAGAATTATTTCCAAAATTATTTCAGAGCTGAATTTTGAGTCTCTATTAATTTAAAAAGTAATCAAAAGCGACGCCCTTATGTGTTAAGCCAAGTTTTACTATATAGGTAAACCTGGCTTAAGATTTAAGCGGATATGAAGGAATCGGTCCTCAGAACAGTTAATTTTACATGAGACTTTCGTAGTCTGTACTTTGGTATTCTTCTCTGATATATCTTGGTGTCTGCCCTAGAATCCTTTAAAATTCTCTTTTAAATCGAAATTGAAAGCATTTCCCAATAGTTTTCCTGGTGTTCTAACGTTTTGCGGTTCACTGGTTACTCTGGTTAAAATTTGCAATTTTTTAACAGATATGTATATTTTGCTAAAACTTTGTAGACTCTCTTAGTGCCAAGTACTCAATTTAAACATTTTGTGAAAAAGTGACTTTAGTGACTTTTAGGTGTAAAAAGTGACTTTTTAGTGACTGACTTCAAAATAGTGACCAAGTCACTAAAAAGTGACCTGCTACCAGCCCTGCTAGTGGAAAATTCTATACGAATTGCACACAAGTAAATAAAAACTACTTTGACCCACTTTACCTATAGTGCCGAGATGAGTGAAAAGAACTTGCTTTTGGGTACTTTTTCTTACCGTGTAGGAAGGTTGCGTCATGCTATCAGTAGTAATGAGCTCAAAAATGATAGCATACAGTGATCCATTGAAACTCAAGCTTAACACCGTGCATGTTTCATGAAGACTGTCGATAAATCTATAACTCAAGAGTTGATAATAGAAGAGTTACGCAGAGTGAGGCTTGCACCACTGATGTCGATCAATGGGCATTTTTTATGTTGGCAACCTCTGTTTTTGTTTACACCTCGGATGACTTCACCTGGGTTGTGAAAGTTTCCTCTAGTTTCGATAACAATACTTCCCACGCAACATAGTCAGTTTGTCTACTTTGGTTTCAGTCAACTCTGTATAACTCGATGCTCCCTTCAATATCGAGTTATAGCGAGTTGACTGTATTGTGGCATATTTTCAATTGTGATATTCTAGCGAGATTATTCAATCCATTTAGCTCTTTTTTTTTTGTTATAAAAAGATGATTTCTTAACTATAGACACGAAATTGTAGCATGCGCCGAAAATGCATACACCGAAAAAAGTTTTCATATAGTTTCCATTGAGAACGCACTTGATATGTTTCCAATAACAAAATTAATGATTCTTATCTGAAATTCACATAACATTCATATGATCACATGAATTCTATGTGATAAATCACATAAATTTTATTGAACACTAGAGTGATGCAAAATTTGAAATTTTCGCTCCACAATACTTAAACGATTCCAAATCGGATCCTGAGTAACCTCTCAAAATGTGTACCCATTTGGTGAGAAACTGAGATGGCACAAACCATTTGAAGTTTGTATGGGAATTACTATGGTAAAACTAAGATTTTTGTTCATGTCTATCTAATAATTCGGTCTGCTTCAAAAGCGTTCAATTGTACTTGTAGGAAATTTTTCCAGCTGCTGAAGACCACTTTTTGATTAAATGCAAGGATCGAAAGTCATCAATGGTTCAATGCGCTGATGTCTTATGATCATGTTCAATCAACTGCTCAGCAGGCAACATTGGTGTTTCTGGGGCGTTGAATAGGACACAAAAATCATGGCTACTACAGTGTTGCCTACAGAGCAGCTGCTTGATCATGTCATAAGTTTACCAATCTCTTAAATAATTAATAACTTTTTCCTGTCTCGTTTTACATAGAAACGATCTTCAGCAAAGTTGTAGCTGAGAAAATTTTCTATAAGAATGGCTGTTTCGCAGCTCAATATGGAAAAAAGACTAGAAGGCAATGAACAAAAAGTTGAGATTTCCCATAGTATGTAAACTTCAAATGACTTGTGCGAAGTCTGTTTCTAACCAAATGAGTTGTAACTTTGGGAGGCTAATCCGGACCCGATTTGAAACCAATTAAGCACTGTGGAGCGAAAAAGTCAAAATTTGCATCAGTCTGTTGGACACATAAGGTTCATGTGATTTTGTAGTGCGATTCCCAATTATGAGATCACATGAAAGTTATGTGGAATTCTAATGGATATTTTCCGCTGGAAATGTGATCTATTTTTTGAGTGTACTGCAACGCTACAAGTGCATCAATTACTTCCAACCATTGATGGCTGATGCAGAGGTGGTTATAGTTCATTTTTACTACAGAGATGTCACCACTAAATTTTATGGGGGAAACTAATGTCCCGATATTTTTCCCCATAGCATTTTCATGACATTCACCTCCTCTGGGCTGATGACATGCTAACATGTAGCGCGAAACTTCAAATACAGAGGATTTTTTGTTATTGAATGTATTATTTACATTAGATTTCACGCTTCGCTCCGCATTACGCGTTAACATGCCATCGACCTTACTCCACACATGACGGCACTTGTAACAAAAATATATTTTTTTTTAAAGATAAAACCCTAATCTGTGAGTCACGCGACTCTTAGTGATTCGCTGTTACTTGGTGTCGTTTTGTTCTGCAAAGTCAACTATCGGATAAAGATTCAATAAGATACGCTGACCAAGCAACAAGCGGTCACCCGGCGTCACTCGAGTCACAGAAAAAGATCGTAAACTAACTACCTTAACCTAAGATACTCACATATTCTTTGACATTTTTAGTCCTGACTGCTTTGTATGATGCATAGGCGGGATAGAGCGTGCCGAACAATAATCTGAAACCGGGAAACAGAATATTGGCACCGAGCGTTCTTGGGCAGATGAAGATTGCGACAAGCGAGCAGAGGCCCATCCCGGTGACGGACATTCGTGGAAATGGAATTTTCGACAGCATCTGTAGAATGACCCCGAATCGCGATAATGAGGAGGCCACCTGTTCTTTACTGATCGGGACCGGATCATCCTGATACTCCTCCACCGTCGAATCGTACCGACCACCACCGTAGTCTGATTCGTTCAACGACGAAAGTGATTCGTTGTAGCTGTAGCGATTGGGAAATCTAACATTCACCGGTATATTTTCAACACTATCGTAGAAAACAGCTGAGTCGTTCAGGTAAACGTGACGTTCCCGACCGTCTGCGGACGAAGGAATGGGATACTCCCTGCGTCTTCGTACGTACACTTCTTCGTCTGGCTCTGGCGCTGCCATTCTTCTATTTTTAGGATAGTTTCGTACCTCGAACTTATTTATTAGACTGCTAACATTGTTGTCGTAATATTGTCTACTACTCATGGTGAACAAAGTTTACATAAGACAACTTAAATTGCAAATATTAGAAGCGTAAGCCACACTTTCAAGCTATTGAAGCACTTGTTTGAAGCATCAAACCAAAAATTGAACTCGTCTTTCGTGACGATTCCACATGTTCAGCAAGCAGGAAATTTTATTGATCTGTTTTCCGGTAAGCACGGTTCAGAATTCACGAGCTACACTTGTCCCGTGCACGATTTACACTCACGAACAGCAGCAACGAAAGTGAAACCCATCGTGAATAATGGCAGTTGCCATAGTAGCATTGCACTTTGGTCTCGCAACGACGACCGACAACGGCAGTGAAGAAGAGCACACACTCACACTTGATCTATGAGCTAGTTTCCCTTCGATTTCCCAAGGGTTTGTGATGGTTGGGATCGAATTTTCCTTTTCTGTTGGTGCAACAAGTCACGAAATGCGATCATCTGCGTTGGTTCTGCTTTTTTTCTCCGACAACGTAGTGCATTTTAGACCTAAACGCCAAGAAGACCAACTAAAGCATTCCTTTTTCGCTGATTTTTCCTATCGCAGTTTGAAAAGTGAGGAAGACAAGACACATGTGTGAACCGCTCCGTCGTCGAATGGAGCTGTTAAAACTAATTTTAGAAGCTAAACAAAAGAAAACGAAGCGCTTTTCGCAGAGCGGTTTGTGTTGTGTATTTTGGTCTGTTCAATGATCAATTCAAATCAACCATAATAGTGGATGATTTGTGGGTGGGAGCAAGCCAAAGTATGTTGAGGAAATGAATGCACAAGGCGTGAGTCAAGTTTAACAGGCTTTGCATGTTCGATGCCTCGAGTGCATGCGGGTCGATCTTTTTAGTGGGAACCGCTTTTCGGAGAGATGCATTGGGAAAGCTTTGTGGCGAAACGAAAAATTTGGTGCAAAAAATCACTAACATACTACGCAATTAAGGGCTGAGACTTGGAAATTTTGGATTTTATAGAACGTCGATCATGGAATGAAAATTTATAAAATTAATGATTGAAGACATTCAACAAGCAAATTGACATGATTTATATTACAAACACTAGCTTTGCAACCTCTTCTTGTAGCTTAATAGAAAAACATACGATCATGGCATCTGATGAATTATTTTTCAGAGAAACGTAACTTGAACATTTACAACCAAAAAACAATTTTTTTTATTTCAGTTTTGAATTTCATAATCATTTGTACTGACAAATATTTTAAAATGAACGCAGATTTAATCGTCGTAATGCCTAAATTTCTTTCTTTATTACTTTACTAAATAGAGTGTTCATTGCAGAGTGCTAGTATATATCTAAACATGAAATTGCATATTGAAACTCTCATTTGCATTCACATTAACCAAGTTCGTTAGTCCTTGATTATTGTACGTTACCTGCAAAGTAATTAATCATTGCCTCTTATAAGAAAGCGATTCAAACTCCAATGATTGAGAACTGTCCTTGTCACGTCCTTGCAATTGGTAGGGATAGTAAGGATTGTTAGTTGCATAATTGCATCTGCAAATAATACACCCAACCGGGAAATGCAAGATTCTATTACAGATTTGCATAAAAAGTATCCAGAATTTGTAATGATTCAATTGATGAACAGATAACGTAATGCTATCATCGGATGGCTTTGTTTGTTCACTGCGGCTAGAAAATTATGTCTTTGTGGGTTTATGCGTAAATATTCATTCTAGAAAAACCTGCTTGTACGCTCAGTCCATTGTAAGAATTTCCATTGTTGAGGATTGATGATTTCTAGCTAAAACCGGCAACGTTTTGTTCGAGGGTCTTAAAAACCATTTCTTTCGTACTTAATCGATAGCTTTAGTTATGAACATAGAACAATCTTTCTGCACTACGTTAAATCGATAGACCCCTCGTTAACCAGGGGGGCTCTAGCGGTTTAAGAAAAAGCTTTTTTTTTTATTCTTGGATAATTTAAACACGCAAAAAAAAACTTCTCTTGCATCCAATGTAAGGTTGGATTTATTACATCCTCTGCATATGTTTCATAAAATAAAATAAATATAATAAAAAAATAATATCAGTTCTTGAAATGAACTGCAGCATACAAACAAGTTTTTCTAGAATGCATATGAGCAGTTCCAGGCCAAATAGCTCAACAAATAATAATTTTTTACCCGTCCCTCTCCGATTTGCATGAAACTTTTCATAATTGTTTGTTATGGGCAATCATTCACATTTTTGTAATGTAGGACATATTGGATCTTATCATTCTTTTCAAAATTGCGTCTTTTACATTTTTCAATAAATTGTAGCACGAAACCGTTACTTTCGATCGAAATGCAGTCTGAGACAAACCCCCCCTATTCTGCGAGTCACGTGACTCTCTCTCACCGGTGAGGTGACAATAGTCACCTCGTGTGAGGTGACTCTCCATTTGATTTGCATGGAGAGTCACCTCACACGAGGTGACAATTGTCACCTCACCGGTGAGAGAGAGTCACGTGACTCGCAGAATAAGGGGGAAAGTTGTTGAAAAAGTAAAGTATTTCTTAGAAAAATATACACGGTAATTTTTGTTTTTGTAAATTTGTAAGTGTTCATGGTTTTATATATTCCAAAAGATTGCATTTTTCATGAGATAGAATTATAATTAGAAGATATATTTTGACGTAGGACTACGTCTGTGATTTCTATATGGGGTTACACTTTGTGAAAACCGTAAGTGGAACATGTAACAAAATTATGAAATATTTTGAACGTTAATAACTCAGCTGCCCCTGGACCAGTTTCAATAATTTTATCACCAATCGATCAAAAATATTTCTACGCATCTGTTAAATTTAAGACTTTATCATTTTTTAAAATGTAACTTCTGAAAATTACACGAATGTGCAACTGTTGCTATGATAATTAAAATTATCACCGATTGCCAGCGAAACGCGATTTCCCTAACACAGATTTCAAAGTTGATTTCCATCCGGGCTCACCAAACGGTGTTTGTTCAATCACCGAATGGTTAGTGGTAGTGTTCTCCAGTACACAATGAAAAGCTGCCTGCAAGCAGCGAGCTGCAGCCCACATGAGCATCCATAGAAGGAGGAAGAAGCCGCACCGCTATTGATCGGAATCAGTAGCTCTTCGTGAGTTCCTGTAGGACATCTATGTCAAGCTCGTCATAATAAAGAGAATAAACAGAGAGAACCCCGCACCATGTATATTTTTACCTGAAAGACATTACTTTTCTCTGCAACTTTGTATCAGACATCATTTCGATCAGAAACGACGTTTTCGTGCAACAATGTTTTAAAAAATGTCGAAGACGCCATTAATGCAAGATCCAAAATGGCCAAATTTTTGCAAAACTGTGAATGCCCATTACAAAGTATAATGCGATGTTTCATGCATATCTGAAAAGGTCGAGTTTTTCTGTTTCGTCATTTGGCGTTGAGCTGGTCATATCTTTGTATAAAACCTTCACGAATTGATTTTCAAGACGTAATGCATTTAGGAAAACAAACTTTGTTCAAAACATAAACAAACATAAAAATTACAAAATTTAAAAACCTTCTTTCGAACACAATACAGAATCTGTTCATGTCGCAAATCATTGCAAATTCAGCATACTTTTCATGTAAATCTGTAAAAGAGTCTTCCATTTCCCGGTTGAGTAAATCATTTTATCTTTAAAAATTCATGCAAAAAATCCTAATGTATGCATACCAATTCAGCCAACGAAAACTGTAAACATGCCAAATGAAAGCCCTGACGTTTTCCTTTCAAATGGTATAAAAACATGATGATTTTAGGCAATATTTTTTAGAGATATATTAATTAAAATCATGTAATATTTTAGAACCTAAAAAAACTAGTGGGCTGGTGAAAGCGAGAATCGCTCATTGCATTTTCAGATAGAAAAAATGTAGAGAATGTAAGAAACCAACCCACAGTGGTTCCCCTTAGAACAAAAGTTGGCCAAAACCTCAAAATTGTTGCTAATAGGCATAAAACTGTCGAAATAGATGTTTTTTAGCTGTACGAAGAAAACTTGACAATCAAGACGTCACAAAAATGAGTATAGTAGGTCAAGGTTTTTTTAGGTATATGGTTTCTGAGGGAAAGTTGCTTCATATTTTTTGTTCAATCTTTTTATGTTCGTAAAATTAGGGTGGTCCATTAAATTGGTGAATTAAAAATACAAACTATTTATTATTTGAGATAGAGCAAAACAGTGTTCTAAACAGTTGTAGAACATTAAATTCAAAGCAACTTTGTAGAAGACACAACGTTTTTATCCCTTATGGTTCATGAGCTATGATTTTTTAAACAAGCAGGTTAGGGTGGCCACTAAAATCGATTTTCTTTGAATATCTTTTCATGCGTTAATATCTTGTAAAAACATTGTTCTGATTACATTTAGAACCTTTGATGACGCATATTTTTGCTCAAGCAACTAGGTTACTATCTTTTTTGATTAGAAAGTTAAAGGCTATTTGCTTCAAAAAAATGACTCTTTTCAATTGTCAATATCTCAAAATGAAGCAAACCGATTTTCAAACATTTAACTTCATTGGAAACATCGTTTTATTAATTATTTTTGGTAAAAAGAACTGCAATAGCTTTTTGTGTTTAAAGCATTTAATTTAATTTAAAAAAGTAATATTTTTCAACAAAACTCATAGCTTTTCAAATAAAAGAGATAACAACTTAGCAAAAATATTCGTCGTAAAAAGTTCTTAAAGTATATGGCATAAAAATTTAACGAGAAATGAACGTAAAAAAAGATATTTAAAGAATGCCGATTGTCTAGGGGCCACCCTAACCTGCTTGTTTAAAAAAATCATAACTCATGAACCAAAAGAGAAAGATATATGGTGCGTTTGTGTGTGTGTGTGTGTGTGCGCGTTACTGTGCTTTGAAAAAGGCATTGTGAAGCTTGCTATGGTATACACCGCAGATTATATAACTTAGAAATAGATATTTTTTAAGAACACTTTACTTGTTATTCCTAATTTCAACATGTTTCGCAAAACAAATTAAAGCCTATTTGAAAGCCAACTTTTCTAGCTATCTTTTGGTTACTAAATGATAGTGGGCGGATGTGTCCGTCATATGTTTTGCTTAGTCTAAATGCGAAAAAAATATATTTTTGCTAATTTTTAATTAGAAACTGTCCCTAAAAACACTAAGACGCTCTTTTTTACCATCCATTTGACTTGAAATAAGCAGAGGAACATTTCTTCTCAAGCAACCAAGTTTATAAACACATTATTTTTTGCTATATTTGAGCAAAACAGAACCAAGATACATTACGATTTTTTTCAAAATTATTTGATATCGCTACACTATAACAGCCATAAAAAAAATATTTAATCAACAGAACTGCACAAATCATTCAACTTAAGATACTCTTAACATGTAAAAATGATAAAAAAAATATTGAAATAAAAAAATATTAACTTTAATTTTTGAGCTTTTGGCCAGCCATTTATTTTGCATGCAATTACATATTTAAATAATGATAGTACAATAAATCCAATTTTGAATTTTCAAAATAAGCTCAACTAGCAACATAACAGGATCCAGTTTCCCATCTAGAGGTAATACATTCAGTGTAGGATGCGGTGTGATTTCACTGAGGAAAGTTTATTTTCCAGATATACACACAACGAAAAAGACATGTAAATTTCAGTGCTCTGAGACCGACACATGCAAGCGGCCCATTTGACATAAGAATCAGTTGAAAAGTTGCTTATGTTTCAGTTTCAGGACACTTAATTTTACATGCCATGTTTGTTTACGTTCCATGATTTATCAAAGCTGAAGTAGAGCTCGAGTAAAAATAGTAATTTCTAAGTGTGTAGATTATCACAAACATTAAGGTTATAACCAGGGATGGAAAGTCATTTACATTCATTTCATGCACTCATTTACATTCATTTGCCTCTCACTTTTTTTTTTCATCAACAGAATTCCGTAAAATAGTGTTTGAAGCTATTGTAGGATTTGATATTAGCTACATCTTTTGTAAACAACTCAAATCTATATCTCTTATGCATGATGAATCAGAGCGATAAGAACCCACCATTGTTGTTCAGTGAATGTTCAT